ATAGAATAGAATAGAATAGAATAGAATAGAATAGAATAGAATAGAATTTTCAGCCATGAGCTTACAGAAATGGAGAAATGCTTCCTTGACTTTAACGTGAGTGTGGTCTTTCTTGATAAGACTTGTGAAACGTGGAAATGGGTTTTTCCCGAGCTGCTGAGATCTCAAAGAAAACGAACCCTGCTGGATGGCAAACTCAAACCCTCTCAATCTCCATTTATCAAGACCAGAAACCATCTCAAGAAGATTAACAGATTAACAGAGTCAGAAGGGACCTTGTAGGTCATTTAGTCCAATCCACCATCCAAGCAGGAGACCCTACACCTACATTTCTGACAGATGTCAGTCCAGTCTCTTCTTGAAAGCTTCCAGTGATGAAGCTTCCACAACTTTTGAACTTCTGTTCCATTGCTCTCACTGAATTGTATTGCAGGTGTCTCTATTTTGGGTAGGCCAAGTAGCAGGCTTCTGAGTGGCACCTTCATTTATGGAACACTCTTCCCGAGAAGGTCCCAAGATTGTGTCATTTCACTGAAGCCATGGTAGTCCAGCATGTACTACCTTTGGCATATTAGGTAAGTTTTATGGGCACCAAAACTCTTTAGCTCTGGGAGATTGATTTTCACTGTTTATTTTTGGTTTTCATAATTCCATTTGGCCCTATTGTGCCCCACACAAAGTCCACTAGGGTTGGGATGAGTTATACATATTTTTGACATAAACAAATAATAAATACTTCAGTAAGTCACAACTGGCTACATAGTGATAGATAAGGGATCGTGAGGGAAGCTGCAAAGGTTCCCAGAGAAATCTCTGAAAGTTCTAGCTAATGTTTAAAAGAGGAGAAAAAAAGAAATTCTAATTCGCACATTTAAAATGAAAAAGCCGACTGAATTTTCTGGAAACTTAGAGGGGTGGACCTGGGCCTAACGTCCTTTCAGAAGGTCTGGAATAATGCCTAGTATTATGTCAGTTATAAACTATTTAACACTTCATCAATTCCACTGCCCCCAGTTTTCCATGTTCATTTTTCAGAGAACAATTTCAGAAATTTACCACCACGGTAATTTATTTCTGTACTAAGCCAGAGGTGGAGAGGAAATAAGGAACACT